AAGTGCTCGTTCTCTGTGGTGCCAGGCATCTGGGACCCCACAGACCCTGGGAGAAGGGAGCACCTTCTGCGCAGGTTTTCCTTTCCAGAAAATGCTAATTTTTAAATTCAGAAATAGTAATACATAGTGGGATTTATCTGACTTTCACCTTCTAAAAGTTAGGTTTGTGATTAAAAGATCATTAAATTCATTCACTCAGTGAAGAAGAGGCTTCTCCACTCAAGGCTTCATGTTGTTTGTTATAAGATGAATCATATGTTCTTTTTCCTTCTTGCTTTCTCTTTCTCCCTTCCTTTCCTCTCTTCCTGTCTTCACTCTAGAGCAGACAGGACAATTAACTTCATTAATTACCCAACTTTCTAGATCACTCAAGTGGATCTCCCCTAAAAGGCAGACATGGGACCAATTTTTGAATTTACTGAAGAGCCCTTCCCAGGATACCAAATCTGAGGTTTTCTACCTGTTGTGAATTGGAAAAAAATGTTATTTGTGTGCATGTACAATTTTAAAATAGCAGTGTGAAAGCAGAAGGAGGAAAGAAAAAATCCTTTTTCTACCCCAGGACAATTAATTAACTAGAAACAAGTATTTTATTCACAAATATTAATGGATAGGAAAAAGCTTCAGTCTTTGGAAAACAATTTTTTTTCTTTTAAAGTGTGTTCTTCAAGGTGAACTGGTAACACACTTTCCTGTGCTGAGACTCTGTGTGCTTCTGTTTAAGTGACAGAACTAGGGAGAAAGGTGATCTGTGCTTTGCTTGGCTGTGCAGGCTCTTGCCCTGATCTGTCTGCCCCAGTGAGTTAGAAAGAGAGAAATCAAAGATTCTGATGAATTGTACAGTGCATTCCCTTACAGATACAGAATTACATTTTCTTCTGTACTGAAAAAACTGGATGAGGAATAAAGCAACATTTCATGATGTGGGAATTAATGAAAAGGGAGAGGCTGTCTAGGGGGTTTGGTTGAGGGAGGGAACTTGGAAAAGGCAGGCAAACCCAGTGAAACTGTTCCAGGTTTGGAGAACAAACTCCCCTGGAGCAGGAGGGAATAAGGCATATTCTCCTGTTCCAGCAGAAGATGTCATTGAGTGCTCTCTCTGGCTGGCTGCTGGCATGTTCCCTAGGAATTAGGTGGAGGCAGTGGTGTTATTTAAGCATACCAGAGCTACCTCAAACAGTTGCTGTGTGGAGACACAGTGGATGGAGGAGGAATAAATGTTCAGGAGGAAAAACACTGGCTTTTTTTGTTATAATACTTGGGCCCAAGTTCCTGTTCAGTCTGATTTTGAGCAGATCAGGGTCCACACTCCTTTTTCTGGAAGCTTGTCTGGCATTCCAGCAGGACGGTGACCAGGCAGTCTGGTGACAGGAGCGGCTCCAGGTGCAGGCACATGAACTGAGGGGTGTTGGTGGTGGCAGAGGCCCTTTGCTGTGGAGATGAGCTTGTTTGACATCAGTTTGTAGGGAGTGCTGCCTCCACCCCTTGGAAGGTCCCTTCTTTCTCCCAGGAGCCTTTTCAGAGCATCTTGTTTGGTGGTGGGGCTCGGTGCTCCAGCTTCCATTTGTTGCTCTTGGTGGTTTGTTTGGGCTTTTATTCCTCCTCTTTGCTGCCTGTGGCACAGGACAGCCTTGGTAGGATTGTGGAGCGCTGTTATTTCAGGGTGTGAAAGAGTCTTAGGCCTTTAATCTGGGAGTACAAACTACATCTGTCACCTGGGTATCTGTGTCGGTTCCTAAGCAACCACAAGAGTTTATTTTTTTCTGTACTTCATATTTAAGAGATAATTTGCTCATGCATGAACCAGCCTGAATCAGCCTGAGCACCACCCCAGGAGACAGAAATTGTAAACTGTAATTTAGGCTAATTCTAGTCTAAAGCATGAATTAGAGTATTTTATGTAATCTTGAAAAATATACCATATAAATAAATGTAAGCAGAGAAAACAGGTACAATTAATTTGAGCACAGTAGGAAGCTTTAAGTAACTCTGGGAATGTGAGAAACCAAGTCGGAACATATTCTTGACATGTAAAAATATTTCCCACCTGCCTTGTTTGCATAAGAACAAGGTTTTAGCAAGTACATATTTGCATGTCAAAGTTAAAAGTGGGGAAAATATTTTCACCCTTGTAAGAAAAAAATGCGTAATCTTGGCACAGGCAATTTGCATTTAGTAAGTTTAAAGTATCTTAAGTCCTTTCATGCTGTATGGGAAGTGTGTGAACCTGTGACAGGGGTTCCATTTCAATGAGTTGATTTGCACAGGCACCACGTGGAGCAGTAATTGATCTGATCTCTCTGTGCATTAATTTGTACCACAATTGGTTGTGGCAGTCCCCAGCGATTTGTGCTTCTGAGATTCGTCCCGTTGTCCTGCATCTCAGAGTGCAGCAGTAAGTTGCAGTTTTTTAAATGCTGTGTGCCTAATTGGAAGTAAGTACCTTGAAGATGTAAATTAGAGGAAATCAGGAATTCTAAAACTATACCTGATTTCGTGCCAGCGCTCATAAAAATTATGTTGGGCAAATGCTGGCACAGCTGGAGCCTGTGAATCTGTGGAGATTCTCTTATACCAGCAAAGCACCCTGGAAAATGCATTTGGGACTAATTATGGCACCTTTTAGACTATTACTAACCTAGCTTTAGGCCATCACTTTGAAGGCATGTTACATTCCTTCAGAAACGCTCTGCAAATGTCCTGTTGCTTAAGAAATAGGGATTGCATAGACAGGCTTCATGGGTGATTTAACTAACGTGCTGGAGATTGTAGATAAACTAGATCCAATTATATCATACCTATTCAAAATAAGGCAGTAATTATGTATATAAAAGTGAAATGTAAAAAATACATTGCCATGTAGCTGTGGAGATAAGCCTTGTCACTACCCTGTCCAAGGAGCTGCAGAAGGCTGCTGATTCACTGCAGCAGAGGAGAAAAATAATCATATGTTGAAAAGGCACAACTGGGATTTGGTAGAGCTATTCTGGAATTTGCCCACAGGATTGCTCTCTGAATTTGAACTACACATGATAGAAATTCTGAGTTTTCGTGAATTTCAGTCTGTTCTCCAATTTGTTGATGTGGGAGGGGGGTTATGCCACCCTTTCTGCTACAAGCTCATAAACATAGGAGGCTCCAGTAATAATTAGTGTAGCACATTAATGAAACAGCACATTATTTTTTCCCTTTTATTAGTTCACTTCCTGCTCCATTGTGTTTAATGTGTTAGCTGAAAGCAAGGTGAAATTAAAATAATTTTTTGGGAAAAAACATTTCCTTCCTTAAGTGTTCTAAACAGACCTCTTAATTTCAGGCTGTTATTTATCGCTGCAGGGATGGTGGGGTTTGAAGGTCAGGGATGCCAAGGTCCTTTTGGTGGAAGCAGTTACCTGTGGTGTCCTGCTCTGTGGACTGCTTGGAAAGCTGCTGATACAGAACTGCCTGGCAAAAGCCCTGTAGCCTTCCCCAGCAGAGTATTTTAGCTGTCTTGGGTTCCCAGGAGCAAATAGGTCCCTTTTGGGTTCTGCTCAGCTGTCCCCATTGTTGCATTTGATGTCACCTGGAGAATATTTTGAAGGGATATTTTAGCACAGTTGGTGCTGTGCTGCAGGTCTTCTGGGCTTCTGCTTTATAATTATCTTATGCTTTGAGCCAGATCCTGAGCTGTGTCTTGCTGCAGTGGAGTGGAGCACACAGCAGCACTGCAAGATGATTCTTGATTAATAATAAGCAGTGGCATGCAAAATGCAATGTTTTTAGAGTGGACGTGACCTTTTGAGAGCAGAGTAGAGCTGAAGTTAAGCCAATGTGTTGTAAGACAGTAGTATTAGATGTGATTTTGTGTGTTGTCACAGACTGGATAGCCGTAAATTGGATGAAAGAGGAGCTCTCTTAAACAGTCGGCAGCTTGTGAATGGATTTGAGCTCCTCAAGGAGGTGAACAGCCCTTGTTAATGTGTCACAGCTACGGGCACAGCAAGAGTTGCACTTGTGCTGTTCCAACTAAGCCCTTTCCAGAAAACTGAGCAGCTTCATCCTAACACACTGCAGCAGAGCAGGGGCTTTCCTGGGGTTTCAGTCACCCACCTGCGTGGGGCCTGTGTTTGTGAGCACCACCAATCACGTGTGATGTGTGCCCTGCTGCTGTTTGATCACTAAAGCACTGCCTGTGCACAGTCTGTCCAAATTTGCCTCTGAAACAGCCGCAGCCACGTACTCCAGAAGCAGCTGAGGTGTCCCTGAGCATGCAGGAGTCCCTTCTTGGGCCCATGTATTCACATGGGAAGTGCTTGATTTAGAGATAGTCACACACCAAACTGAATTCAGTGGGAGGGTTTATATGTATGAAATTCCATTTATCAGGGCTTTCATGCCTTATAACTGAATGGCATTTTCCAGGCTGTCTGCTCCTCTGGTTGCAGTAAACTGAGTGCTGCTGTGTTTTCCTGCCTTGTTTGTTCTGTGGTAGATAATACACAAATAGGTATCAGTTCAGACAGGTAAGTTTTGGACTGCTCATGCAGAATGGGGTTGCTCTTTACCTTGTAGCTTCTCTTTAGGGTTGGCGACTCGTGTGAGCTGGGTGGATGTTCGTGGCTGTGGTGAAGGTGGTGCATTTGCTTCCAGGCAGGGCAAGACCTGCTATGGTCTTGCATGAATAGAGTTGGAAGAAACCTTTCTAGTGTCATCTTAGCTCTTTGGCCAAAATGTGAACTCTCCTATTCTTTTTGGCTTTGAAATGCTGATTCTAGCCTTCTTGTGGGTTCTTAAACACCTTCTCAAATGACCCATTTTAATAACCCAAAAGCTATTATATAACGAGCAGCCATAATTTAGTCCAAAGCTCTAGGGGATCCTTGCAGTTCAGCAATGAATAGTTAATGCAGTATAATGTTTAGCAGGTTATTAGTTTTCACTGTACAAATGCTGATCAGGGAATGCTTTTATAAGGTGTTTAAAAGAAAATGTAATTAACTGGTTGCGTGCTTCTGTTGCAGCTCAAATTGAAATTATTCCATGCAAGATCTGTGGAGACAAATCATCAGGAATCCATTATGGTGTCATTACATGTGAAGGCTGCAAGGTAAGCTTCTAAAATATTAAGTCTGAAAAGAAGCATTTAGCCTTTTGATAGTGATAATTTTCCTTCTTTTTTTAAAGAGCAAGCGTTGCTCCTAAGTTGAATATAAAATAGTTGGGGATTCTGAAGTACTGGTTTTATTTGGACTTTAAATAGGATGCTTCCATGACACACACACACAATTACACTGCTGCAGATTTTAGGACAATCCTCAAAATGCGACAGTTGTGCTAGGCGTGCTGTGCGTTGTCTCTCTCTGCATAAACAGAAGAGGCACAGAGATTGATCTGCTTCAAGCACACCACCAAGAGCCTGCTCAGTGCATTCAGCTGAGGGAGGACGAGTCTGGCTTTCTTTAATCTCCCTGTCTGTTTTTGCTCTGTAAATTGCTATGAAGCTCTGCTGAAATAGGTGGGAGCTCTCCCTTCTGTTTTCTTCTGCGCTCTGCTGCAGTTACAGATCTCTTCTGTTTGGCAGGGGAGATGGTGTTTCACAGGAGCACTTGCTGCTGATGTTCAGCATGCTCAGGTCTTGCTGAGACCACTGCCTGTTCCTTGCAGTGCAATCACTGCTGTGTGAGGTTTAGGCTTTGAAGTTTTTCCTGGAGTTGTGCCTTTGGTAAATCTAGTGAGCCAGGATTGCACTAGAAGCATTTCTGTTTTGTTCAGTGCATTTTTCACAACCAGGAATTAAACTGGACAGTGCCAACACAAGGCAGGAGTGAAGCTGATCACTCCTTTTGATCCTTAGTGCAGAATTACAGCGCTGGCTTGGGGTGACACAGTGTGCACAGCATGCTCTGGTTTGTTGCTCTCTTCACGGTTGCAGTCCCATACTGAAAGGTTTTCTCCTCTTAATCTATACTTGAGGTGTGAAGAATTGATGATTATTATAGTTTTTGGTCTACTTTCCTGACCTTCTTGATACTACAATCCATCTTCAAAAAGTAACTTTCTTGCATTCACATTATAAAGGTCTCTTTTGTGTTTTTCCCAGAAAGATTTTTGTGTTTTCATTAACACATCCTCTTAGTCTTGTGGAAGTATTGGTAACAATGAAGGAAAAAAACTAAATTAAGAATCTTGGAATGATATGGGAACAGCACCTTCTGCCCTTTCTGACTGCTGTTGCTATGGAAAATGCAAGAAATGCACTAAAAATGCATTGATAACAGAGTGGTGGTGACTTTTTCCAGCTTTATGTTGTTAAGCAGTCTTTGTCAAGTTTCAGCTATGGGAAGTGCAGCCATTTGTTGCGAGAATTCTGCTGTTTGACTGTCTTATCAAGGATTAAGTTATGTTCAGGGTTTGAGAGCTCTTTAATCTTTAGATGGTCCGGGGCCAGAGTACCTGGGAGAGAGATCCATGACATCCAAACCTGGGTGCAGACACAACAGGGTTAACGCGGTGCTGATGCTCAGCTGGGCCTGCCCACATGGGGCTTCTTGCAGAGCAGGAGCCCAAGCACAGGGAAGCTGCCAGCTGTGTTTTCCTTCCTTCATCTTCATGCACTTAGTGAGAAATGTGTGTACAGTATACTGTGTTTTAGAACAAATTATATTCCTTCAAGTGCTGTATAAATCAAGTTCTCTTGGAGCTCTGTGCAATCCTCTGCTTCTGAGAATTCCACCAGAAGGGTCAGCTGGTGAGAAGGGTAAAAGGGAGGGCAAGCAGGCAGAGGTGCTCAGCACACTGAAACCCGTTTGAACCTTGAAGGCAGAAGGTGAGAAGTAGGAGTGGCCCAGTGAATGATTTAGGCATTTTTTCCTTCTCTTGAAGGAGCACAGTGAAGTTTTGTGGCCATACAATTTCAGACAGAATTTTAAAGCCAATTAATATCAACTTAGTTAACCACATTATCTTCCTTTGAGAAGCTCACTCCTAAAGAAACTCAGTCTTCTTTAATGCCACAGCCCAGATGATGTGCAGATAGTGACAGGCTGGAGCACTGCTAGTGGGCACAAGTCACAGGAAGTTTATATGATCATGGCCTAGGCTGCATGTGAGATGACCTACTGTGGATTCTGGATTCTCTGGATTCTTCTGCCACACTCTTCCAAGGTGCTGTCAACAAAGTCTCACCCAACAGAACTATTTTGGCTGGTGAAAAGGTTGGCGTAGCTTGGCTTCTGCCGAAGCAGCCAGGTGTGGGTTGGTATGGTTTTCTTTTCCCAGCTTTTCTGTGGCTGTGACTACTGCAGGTTTGAGCATGCTTATGTTGCTCTTCATGTTATGCTAAATCTTCCTTTGTAAAAAGTACCTGGTTACACAGAGCTCATTCCCAGTCCTGTGCCTTGGCTCCTGCAGCCAGTGTCCTGCACAGTCCCAGAGAAGTCAGTGAGGTCCTGCACAGGTGCCACAAACCCACCCGTGTACATCAGATGGCAGGAGCAGGGCTGTGGCTGGCAGAAGGGAACAGCTGTGCTGCTGCCCTCAAGCCAGGCGTGTCAGGAATGATCTGCAGGCAGCAACAGCCACAGCAAAGTGGGATGTTTTCAGCTTGGGCTGGTTTCACTTCGGTTTGGTGTGAACTTAATCCTAATGTTAACATAAGTGTTACTCTGTAAATACTGATAAACAGCAGAAATATAGTTTATTCACAAACTAATCTGTATCACAGATGAAATCACAGACCAGCTCTTGTCAGATTGACTTTTGCTGGTCCTGTTGCTCTTCTGCCGCTTTGCAACCCTTGCATTTCACAGAATTGGAAATGTTCTGACCAGGTTGAATTGTTACATTGCATTTCCCATAACTAGACTTGAAGATCTGTAGTAAAACCCATTAGTCTGTCTTGGGAAGTTCTCATTTCTTCCCTTGCTATGATGTTGCTGGCTGTTCTTATGAAGTTAGTGGCAGTGTTTTGCAAAGGCATTGAGTACTCCTGTCCCATCAGCCTATTTAGCTCAATTTGAAATTTGAATCTGCCTTTAAAAAAGTAAAATTTAAAATTCCTTCATCATCTCCTTCTTGACTGAAAATTTGAGGTTTTAGCCAGGCTGTATTTTACACTTTATCTAGGAGGTCTTCTGTGCCTTATTAGAAATAAAATAATTCTTTTAAGAGAGGGTAGTTGCAGGAGCACTACTGACAAAACTGGTACCTGTGTGAGGCGCTCCACTCGACTATTTCTTAAGAACCTTTTATGCTTAGGAAGGACCATGCTGGGAAAGGAAAGTGGTTTGTATACATCCATGTTCTTTTCTCCTAGCTGAAAGTTGAATTCAGTTCCACATTGTCATACAGTGAACTATATAATTTAATTTGCAGTTGCAGTTACTTTGTTTTGCTGTCAGTAGTTAATGCCCAGCTGGCCCACCAGTGCAGTAGTAGTCCCTCTCTTTACCTGACTGCATATAGCTGGTCTAACAAAACCCCTCATGCAGGACATTTCTGGGCATTTCAGATGCTTTCAGAGGTTAATTAGTACTGGCTTTTTTCTCTCGTGTCTTCTAAGACCGCAGATGATCTTGTTCATTGTAACTGCAAAGAAGAGTTCTTTACTTTAGGAAACAATAGCTGGTGTGCTGTCCCAACTTGCTTTCATTTGTTGACAAACATAAGCTCACTCCTGTTTTTATTATTATGTAAAACTGAATGGTTATTCTGTTTTCAGTGACACTGTGACTTTGTTACCAAATACTTTATTAACACAGTTCATTAAACAATATTGTCAAAGCACTCTCCTCCCATTACAGCTACAATATGTGCTGGTGGTCATAAAAGGGTTAAAAATCCAATTTGATTATTTTTTTGCCTGTCTTTTGTATTATAGTGTATTTTTCTGATGTTTCTTTGAAGAAAATTTGTGTTGGTTTGCTTTAGAAAACAGTAAAAGAATTACTCCCCCCCAACTAATTGTTAATTGCTCAGAATATTGCAAAACTTAATGATACGTGGAAGTCTCTAAGTATTAGCCATAAATCATGGGATTATGAATAAGCCTTTGTTGTCACAGGCTCACATACAGTCATTCCAAAACGTCTGCCATTAGGATGCAGCAAGGCAGCTGTCAGCTGTTTTCTTGTAATTAAACAGCCAATGAGCAGCTAATTAAGACATATGTGTATACAGAAGTGGAAGTGGGTATGTTAATGAACTGTAGGAATCAATTCATTAAATGAAAATTTGTCAAAAGACCAAACATGAGCTCAGCGTTTCAGCCCATGCGCGGTGCAGAGGGAGCGTGTGTGGTGCCATTTGGGACACGAGGGAAGCGCAACTGGCTCAGACACCAACATCTCCAATGCTGAGCTGCTGAGCAGAGCAGTCACTGAAACTATTAATAGACTTCGCAAAAACTGCTATTTACATTTCAAAGTCCTTTTTTAACAAGTTGTTATTCCAACTGACTTGCAGATGAAAAGTTCCTGTGCACATTTTTCCCCAAACCTGATTTTGTGGCAGCAAAGGAACACCCATAGACTGTGTTGGTATAAAGAGGAGTCTGAAACGCAGGGACCGAGCTGTGGCTTTCCGTGCTCTGCTCTTCTGGCACCAAGGGCATCCATCTGCAGGGAAAGGGAATGTGCAGAGCTCAGTGGCTGGGGCTGGATCTTTGTGCTGACATCAGGAGGGGCCAAGAGTGCCATGGGCCAGAGTGCTCCAACACTGGGGCTGCTTCAGTGCAGCTCCAACTTTGTCTCTGTGCTTGATCAGGAGGGGTGGCTCTGCCTTGGCCCATTAAGTCACATGAAATAATGCTTGTAAACATGTGTGCAATAGAAAGCATGTGGCCTGGGCTGGCTTGCATAAGGCTTGAACGTATACACGTGTACCAAGGATACATCCACCTCCTCCTTCCTGGTGGAAAAATTATAGCCAGCTCCGTGCCTCTGGCAAAAGAGTGGGAATAGAACAACAGAATAGTGTTCTCCTTTTAATAAAGGAGAGAAAAAGCCTAGAAATAAACTGTAGGTACTTACAGAAGGCTCCTATAATTGAGGCTTCCCCATGTGTCTTATAGTGATGTGAAAGCCCAAGGACCACCAAAAGCTTACAAAACTCACAAGTAAATGACAGCACCGTAGAACAAAAAATCCTCACTTGACCTTCATTGTCAATTCACTCCCAAGTCTCAGATACCTGTGTTTCTGAGCTCTGGACAAGTTTACATTAGTTTTTAACGTTTGTGCCAAGGTTTCTTCTTTTACCTACTGCTGATGTTTTCTTGGGTTTCTTTTTAAATGCACTCTACTGTATCTCTGGTTTGTCAAGTGTAAGTGCTTTTAAGGGCCTGGATGCAGGCATTTTTGCTCTACTGGAAATTTGGCTTCAAGCTGTAACTTAGCTGATATATTGTACACTAAAATGTATTGAGCAGCTGTGTCTCTAGGGAAAATCTGGAAAAGGAAAAAGGCCAGTATTTTCTCCATTATAATACTAAAAATAATCCTCAGCTTGACAAGGCCATTCTTAATAAAATATGCCGAAGTGGCAATTTAGAATCAGCGTGTGAGTGTGTATATATATATAATATCTCAGCTAAAGGAAAACATATGGATCCTTGAGGTTATTGGGACATGTTGGTTTCACATGTTGTTTAGGCTGACTTGTAGAATCTCAGTGGTGGCAGAGGGTTTCATGCAGGTCATGTGTGAGCGTGTCATTCAGTGTAACTAGAAAAGTATTTGGAGAACTGAAATTTTCAGGGACTGATGCGGAACCTTGAGCAGTCACTGGTCAGCTCAATCCCTAATCCTGTTTTTCTGGTGAATGGCATTGCACTTGGAGTTTAGTGGTGAACACTAGAGTGACAGGCTCCACTGACAGTGCTCCCAGAACTGGAAATGAATCTATCTACTTACCCAAGAGTTGGTTTCTCTAGAGGGATAGTTGTGATGTAGGAATGGTAGACATTTCCATGGTATTGCAGGCTGAATTATTATTATAGGGTGAAATGCATTCAATTGGAAGTCAATATGTGCAATACTTTCAGTCTCAGTGACAATCACCTGTTGACAAACGTGAAAAAAGTGGTTTAAAGTTCAGTCATATAGAAACAAAGACCAGGAAGAAAGGATAAGAAATTATGTACAGGAAAACAGGATTAAAGACAGCATCTTCAGGTTTGTTTGTTTGTTTGTTTGTTTTTTAATATTCTATGTTTCCCTAGTAAAGCTTTAATAAAACGAGTGTAATCAACCAAGACTGGTGCCTTTCTGCTAAGATTGAGCAGGGGCTTTGTCTCAGTGTTTTGCCATGTTTCTGTCTGCAGTTTGTATGGAGCTACATGAGACTTGTCATGCAGAAGTCCTTCCTTTGTTTGCTTCACCAAGTATCTGTGCATGTGCTGGGGGACTCCAGCATGAAATCTTTGAGTAAATAACAAATTGGTAAAAGTCCAGCTTTAATTAAAAGGTGCCCAGCCTTTCCAAGGAGCTATTTTCTTTGCAGCACTGTTAATTAATCCATTATGTAAAACTAAAATAGTGTGCTCACTGCTCTCAAATGCCTCTTTAGAATGACTACATCTATGCAGAATCCTTGTGAAGTAGGTATTACACACACAGCAGCTTGTGTTTGGGCAGTCTGTGGCAAAAGCATGAAACGGACTTCAAAGCAAACAGCTGCAGAGTGGTTTATGACATGCACCTCTCTGGAGCAGACAATGAAGTTGTTGCTGTGCGTAATCTCCTAGCTCCAGCTTTCTTTGGAGATGGGGTTACTCAGGAAAGAAATCATACATAAAACGTGTTTTAGCTTTTCCCCTCCTTAAGAGTCCAAATCCTGCACAGAGTTGAACAAAACCTGGGCTGTCAGTATCAAACTAACTCACACAATAGCAGCAATAGGTGCCAGCAGCACCAGTGCAGTGACCATCCCTCTGTCCTGGGCACTAGTGAGGCACCTCAGGTGCTGTGTCTAGTTTTGGGCCCTTCATGACAAGCAACACAGAGGGGCTGGAGTGTGTCCAGAGAGGGGCAGCAGAGCAGGGCAAGGGTCTGGAGCACACGTCTGCACAAGCACTGGTTTTAAGTCTGATAAGAAGCAGTTGAAGGTGTTGAGGTTATTTAATCTGGAGAAGAGGAGGCTCAGGTGTGACCTTCTTGTTTTCTGCAACTCCCTGGTAGGAAGGTGGAGCCAGGTGGCAGTCAGGCTCTTCTCCCATGGAGTCAGGAACAGGACAAAAGGAAATGGCCTCGTGTTATGACAGTTGTGACAAGTTTCAGTTGGGTGTTAGGAAAAAGATCTTCACTGAAAGGGTGGGCAGGCATTGGATTAGGCTGTCCATGGAAGTGGTGGAATCACAGTCCCTGGAAGTGCTTAGAAATGTATGTGGATGTGGCACTTGGGGTTTAGTGGTTAACACAGTGGC